TGGGTTACGTGACATGATCTTGAACATGATATCATCCCTTTTCGAAACGTCATACTTACCAAAGGCGTATAAGCCGGGGGCGGGGTGGGGGGGGGGGGCGGTGGGGTGTCTGTATCCCCGCCTCCTTCATGATTTCTTTAGTTACATCAACATTCGGAAAGCGAGGTGCGCGATATTATTTTTCAATACTTTATTCTACTGTCTTAATATGATGAAAAATAATATTGTTAGCATAATAAATTGTCTTTTTGATTTAGAAACTGATTGATTGGATAACCTATACTTATTGATTGACTTAATGATTGATGAATTGAATGACTGACTGACTGACTGATTGATTGACCGATTGATTGACTGATTGATTGATTGACTGACTGACTGACTGATTGATTGACTGATTGACTGACTGATTGATTGTCTGACTGACTGATTGATTGAATGACTGACTGACTGACTGACTGATTGACCGATTGATTGATTGATTGACTGACTGACTGATTGATTGATTGATTGATTGTCTGACTGACCGATTGATTGATTGACCGATTTATCGAGTGATTGACTGATTGACTGACTAATTGATTGACCGATTGATTGACTGATTGACTGACTGACTAATTGAATGATTGACTGATTGACTGATTGAATGACTGATTGAATGACCGATTGATTGATTGATTGATTGAATGATTCACTTACTGACGGATTTTTTTACTATTTATCCTCTTTCGAGGAACTTTATTTGTTCATATCATAAAACAACAGCTATTAACAACAGTGTTTAAATACAAAATTCATGCAATAATTGTAACATATCATATAGTACAAAACATGAAACTAATGTGACATAATGAAAACATTTTTGTAACTTCGTTTGTATCGAATTTCTTTTGATTACATTTCATATCGAGATAGGTGCGAATTTCTACATTTATTCTTTTATCAAATATACAGCATATATCCTGTGCTTTTCACTTCCAAAACATTCTCTGATATAGTTTCTATATATATAATAATCTGAGCAAAGTTTAAAATGGGATTGACAAGATTCATTTCTTTTCTCTCTATTTCAATACCTATTAAAATATTTTTTTCGTTCCAATTTTTTTTGTTGAATTAAACAAAGTATCGATTAATTTGGATACAATTTTCCAAAAAAGCGAAACCTTCTTGCATGCCAGGAGAAGGTGGTTAGTCGTATCTGGGATCTTACATATATCACATAGATTATTATTTTTAATCCATTTACATAAATTGTTTTTACTGGGCAATATTCCGGCTATGAATATATTCAAAATTAAACTGCTTAATTCTGTTGTCATTTATAAAGTAAAATTTATAATGAAGCACCGTCTTCCAGTTAAACTCATTAGGTAAATCAAAATAAGCGTTCCAAAAATAAATGCACGGCAAATCCTTTCTATTTTGTTCTAACATCAAATTATAATAGTGTTTGGCTCTCATGACCGCTACACCAATGGAGTCACCTGTTACCATTTTTATTGTACTGGATTCCACTGCAGACGATAGACTATTTACATATTGTAACCTATTACGTAACTTTGTCAATTTGAAGGCGGAAAGTAATTCATTTCTTTGAAAATTGATACAAATGTAATCAACTTCTTTCCAGATACCGTTTACCGAGACTTGTTTCACTTTAAAAATATTGTTTCTCATCTAGTTTGGAAAATACAATAACTCATTCATATTTGTAATATTGCTATTATACCAAATCGTTTCATTTTTAATCACATATCAATATATTTTAATTCAGCTCAACAACAAAACATGTCAACATAACAGTTAGGTAACTGTTTTTTTTTCTACAAATACGATAAATATCGCTCTCTTTGCAATTAAAATGCAAACAGAGGCAAATCCCCAATTTTCTTGATCCAATATTTAAACAAAATTGTCCAAGCCCTTTGTTCACCTCTTAAATACTTATGAATGGTCATGTTTTTTTATTGTCCTTGTTACAGGAACATAAATTTAAAAATTCGTCTTTAAAATGGATTCAAACGTTATATAATGGTGCTCATGGTCGTGTCTTAAATTTTGGTTGGATATCCGAGAAATTCGCAATAGAAAGAGGTGTTAGGCAAGGTTGCCCACTTTCTCCACTTTTATTTATAATAATTGCAGAGGTTTTAGCAATTGAAATTAAACAAAACGCCAAAATAGAGGGAATCCAAGTCCCAGACTTCAATGAAGATCAATCTGATATTAAAGATATACGTATCATTCAATATTTTTTGTTTTGTAGTATTGTTTTATTGCATTCATTCAGTACAAAATCGTCGCTGTTTTCACGAAGTGACGGTAGTGAAAAAAAATTTCATTCACTTTGCGTTATGATTTTCCTCACTACCGTCACTTCGTGAAAACAAGGACGAAATATATAACAAACAAACATACAGCTTCATTGATTTACATATATCAAAATATAAAGAAAATTGTACATCTCTCAAAAAATACATAAGATAGTTTAATACACAGTACATAATGTTTACATTTAATTATACTGAACGAATATTATATGCAGACGAGACAACGATTATTACTAGATCTGTTCAATTTGTTAAAGAAATGATGAAAGAAGTAGAAATGTTTGGAAAACATGCGGGACCAAAAATGAACTGGACCAAATTAAATCATATGAAATTTAATATGAATGACGATGAACTTGAAGATTTATATCTCACCGAAGACCCTATAAAAGGTCTTGGTATACATGTAGGTAAAAATTCTTTAGACGTTCAAAATTTAAACTGGGAAAGTAAAGTAGAAAAAAAAGAATACCTTGGATTTATGGAAAATGAGAAAACTTACATTGTACGGAAACTTTGTTGTGATTAAACATTTAGTTATGTCTCAGATAGTACATACTGCCACGGCAGTTCCGATCCCTTCTAAAATAATTAAACGTATAAACTGGCTTACACATTTTTATGGAATTCTAAAAAAAGAAAAGGTGAAACGAAACATCTGTCACAATCCTGAAGTAGAAGGGGGATTGGGAATGATTGACTTAGAGTCGAAACGCCAGTCACTTCGTCTTTTAACTTACTGACTGATTGATTGAGTGATTGACTGACTGATTTATTAGTTGACCGACTGATTGGTTTAAAAACACTGTATAAACTCCCATTTAGCTACATGTATACTAGGCTTGTGTACAAACTAGAAAGTTGATATTCTGGCAAGCACCATTATCCCCCTCCTCCCTCTACCTTTCCCGGAAATGCCCCCGTGTCCCTTTTGACACAAGTCACCACCCATTGTCCTCACGTAGTGTAAGACAACACGTGACATTCACAGGAAAGATGAACATGATTTCGATGTTTACTCGGACAAAGTTCATCCTTTCTATTTTTATATTTATCATTAGCTCTGTACTTTGCGAACACACACACTGCAGCCCTGCATCAATATTGAAATATGATAACGTGATTAGTCATTTTTGAGCGGTTGATTCCTTATTTTATTTCATCAACATTATATTCTGATAAAAAATGAGATCGTGTAATTTTGAACATAATCCTGTAAAGGAAAGATACAAGGGACAGTCCCCTTTAACTAATTTTTTTTTCTTCTAAAGTCCTGCTCAATGATTATCTCAGTGAATTCTAGACTACAACAAATGTCCTGCCAATTAGTTTTTGCATTACTTCGCGCGAACCCCCGAACCCCTAGTTTGTACGGGGGTGTAGTGCAATAACTTCTTAGTCTGTAAACATAATGTCAGTTTGTGGATTTGAAAATTACATGAAAGTCTCATTAAGATTATTTGGATTTTGGTCTTCTGACAAAATATGACTTTGAAGATGTATATTTCTGGACTACGGGATTACAAAAATGCATCATGATTGAACTATGTTTTTTCCTGTGTAAACTTACGCAAATGTCAGAGGGTACAATAATATTATTTCAATTTCAATTTCATTTATTGTTCAACCATCAAAATATACAATCAAAATAAGTGACATCAAGAATTTAGAATAACACAATGATGGTTTGGTGACCCCGGAGAAAGCAGAGCTTATAAAAAGGGGCCACCAATACATAAAAAGATCAACAATTATTATGCAAATAAAATCAACATCGAACATTAATATAAACAAGGAAAAAAAGAGAATTACACTTCTGCAGCAGCAGCAAAAAATGTATCTACATGTATATAAGAGGGCAGTACAAATAAAAGCGAACAAGAATATCAAGAATATATTATAAAGAAGGTCGACTAGTGGACTGACGAATATGATTATATACAAGTTTAAATACAAATTTGTTAATCGTTTTAATAGAATGAATATACGTATAAATCTTTGTCCTAAAACTGCTTCTTCTTTTTTCAAAATACTATTTATGACGTGAATAAAAATGCATAAAAATTAACTTTAAAAATATCAAAAAAATAGATAAAAACAAACAAATTAGCGAGTAACACAATCGCAACTATTTATACATGTTTATACAGGTACACAAGATTAGAAATAAGTCTGTTTTGCATCATGTTGAACATACAAAAACCATTTCCGTTTTAACGATTTATGTTTTAACGGTAACTATAGGCCGACTCGGGTGAATGATGTAAACTTCACATAATTTGTTTCTCTTTTTCAAAACCTCTTTTTACCCGCTCAATAAAAATGATGTAAAATCGTAAAGTCTGTAGACTTGTATCAATTTACTCATTGCTAAATTTAACAACTATCGTCGGTCAATTCATAACACCCAGATGACATCTTTAAAAGAGCGTGGTTGATTGTATGGACTCCAGTCTTATGCTCTACCAAAACTCTTTAAAACAAATTCAATTGTAAAATACTTTACTACTTTAAGTAACTGTTTTATATGGGTCGGATGGTAGCGTCCATGATCATACATGTCGGCTAACTGATACAGACACGCCCTTCGGTAAATGGTCATCGTAGTGTGCTGTGTGCATCTGATGCTTTCTCGTTGTCATGGTAAACACAGATGAAAGGGAGCCCTGTATCAGTCGCTGTCGCACGCACAAGAGTGTATAGACATGATTGCTCTCTTGTGCCGCGTGACAGCAACTAACGAGAGAGCTGGGTATGTTGATAAGGCGACTGATCAATCAGGTTCCGGTATAGGGTGAGATCGCATGACGTAACAAAACTTCTGACCAATGGGTGACTGTTATTTCATATCGTTCAGCAAGATCAGTCGCTGTTTACAAGACGAGTGACCAATCAGGTTCCAGTATAGGGCGAGATGGCATGACGTAACATAACTTCTGACCAATGGGTGACTGTTATTTCGTATAGTTCAGCAGGATCTGTCAGAGTAGCACGTGGACAGATTCCAGACCTATCATGTTCCAGTAGAGTCTTAGATAACAAGTTTTGACGTAACAAGAAAACCTCTAGCCGATGATGCGCGATAGTTATTTCACATTGTCCATTTTTTGAAAATAATTTTTGATTATTTAGAGTAGTCTTCCACAAAGTTATCTGGGTTGAAAGAAATTAAAAGGTAAAAGAATAAATAAAAACAACGGATTCTGTGACTGGTACTAGTCTATAGGACCCACAGCCCCTACAGCGTAATGATATCCGTTACATTCATCACATGCATACGTGCATACTGACATGCGCTAAGACTACTTCTGTCATGAGCGTGTCAAAGTTCGAAGTAGGTGTCCATGGTCAAAGCTTGCAAGTGTCGGCCTATCAGTTTCGATGTAAAACAGAATTATGTCTTTCATGTTTCAAGTTCGCATTCTGTAGATTGTGTGAGCGCTATGGTACTTTTTTGTTTTTAGCGCTCCTATTTAGTGATCGATATTATTATAATTATTAGAGTCTTGATATTAAGACGTCGTACCGGTCAAATATATTGCATTTCACAGGCCTGATAAAAAATTCCAGGTATTAATAATAGTTATGAATCTGTTTGTAGAAAATGGAATCACGTCTCACTTTGTATGTCTTTATAATTATAGAGGTCTACTATTTTCGAAAAGATAACAAATCCAACTTTAATAGAAAAAAAATCAGAGAAGCAGACCCGTGCAAGTTTGAACGAAATCTGACAAAAAATAAGAAAATTATGAATTTTTGAGAGAGTTGTTATCCACTATACGAATGGGAGCTTCAAATTGGCTGAATCGGTGATGTCCAATAATTATACTGGTAGAGTCTTTTAATTAAACATTCTGAGGTCCATGTCAAATTTTCTCTGCCTTTACTCTTCAAAGAGAGAGAGAGAGAGAGCCTGCTCAAGTTGAATAATTAGAAGCCCACACTCAACATTTTCAAATATGCTATTCAAGCTCTAAAATCTAATATCAGTAATAAGTATTTATGTTCAAAATGCCAGTCACTACTCTCCAAAAACAGAGCCAGTTGAAGTTGAATAAAGGCGTAAACTCACCCTTTTTTATTCATTCATTCATTCGTCATAATTATTCTAGGTCATTCTAAGCAAAATTAGCAGACATTTTCAAATAAACCATGCAAAAGCCCGAATTCTTATTATAGGCGTTGCGATAAGCAACAAAAAAAAAGGATTGTAATGAAAAAAAATGTAAGTCCATCTCACTTCGTGTCTGTCTGTGCTCTCCAAATAGAAGTTGTAGTTGAAGTGGGAATACTACATAGGCCAAAACACAACATTTTCAAATATACTAGTCGCATTGGCACGAATATTCCAAGTAGGCTACGCATTCACCACATGGACTCGATTAATTTAGAACAGTCAAGTACAGCATCTCGGTCATTTGGTTTGTATTCAGTCTTCTTCCAAAAGAGAGTCTACTGAAGTTGAATTATCTAGGCCTATAGTCGCCTACACTCATCAGATGATATTCTGCAAATTGCTCCAAATATTTGCAAATAATCTAATATTCAAAAAGGTGAAGTCCATCTGGATTTAATCTGTCTCTGTCTTTTCTCGTCAAAAGAATAGGTCCGTCGAAGTCTCCAAAATAGCCCTATAATACATTCGCCCTTTTTAAAATCGGCAAATCACAATCGAAGCACATGAATTCAAGAATATAGATGACCATGTGCGTGTCGCTAAGAAACTATTATGGGACGAATCGAAGTCACGTTGACAGTTTCCGATACTGATATGAATTTTCATATCGGTATGAATATTCAATTAAGTATCTCCGCCCACGTCATGACGTCACTTCACGTACCACGCCCACTGTGAGCGTTCTGATCTGCACGTGCGATCGTTTACTACACGTACTTCTCAAAATGACCTACTTAACATTTTCATGTCATTTATAGCGGGGAAAACCTGTGGCGTAGCGTATTTGGTCGGGGGGGGCGGTGAAGGGGAGCGGCTAGGAGTATACGAGAGGATGGCGGCGAGGGCCATTTTCATTTTGTAAACTATTCTGTAGGAATTTGAGAATGAGCTCTACCAATCAATTTCTACCAACCAATATTTTACACACACCTAATTTTTTAAAATTTCCATTCTCTTGTAGGACGATGGCCTCACCTCCAATCTCTTAGCTATGCCACTATAACATGGGAATAGAACATTTACACCGATATCTACATGGGCGAGCGCCATAGCAAAGGGTCCCCTGATACAGAAGGGGCACCAGGACCATGGGTTGGGGTGAGGCATCGACCTTAATAGATGCAAATTCAAATTCAGATAATTTATTGAAAACCAAATCCTGGCATGACAGGATTATCATTAAAAACAAAGACAAAACAACAAACACACAAAACAAATTGAAATAATCAACGAGTACTATGACAATTCAAACCTTCACAATAAACAGCATAATTAAAATTATCTACAATAAATTTTTCTCTTAATCATTATTTTGCATGTTCTTTAGTTGACGAATGTCTATTAATGTACAACTCGCTTATGAACGTTGATGTCTTTCCAGTTTCCTTTGAATTTCTCGATTTGTTCAAATGTTTCTTTTGCTTTATTAAATTCCCTGTATTGTGATGTGTTTTGTTGCACCCTGCCAATGACACACACTCTCTCCCTCTCTTCTTTCCCTCAATCTCATTCCCTTCTCCTTTATTTTTCTCTTATTTGCCATATAGGGGTGTATGATATTGACAGCAATTTTTCCAATAAAAAAAAAGAAAAGGGCGGCTAGCGACGAACTTTGACCAATAATTCATTCGGTTACAAGGCAATCTAACATACTAAATCAATAACACTTGTTGTCATGAACTATTTATTGAAACAAATTATCGTAGACGTAGGGCGTATACACATATTAAGAAGCCATGTCTTGGGGAAGGGGGGGGGGCTGGGCATAGTGGTTGACGTCATAATCTTATTAAACGTTCTTTCCTAATGATTTGTATTGATTTGATTGGTTGCTTTTATTCATATTCCATGCATAATTTACAAAGCTGTGTACATTTCACAGAACATTAACATTTTATAAAGTAATACGGAAGTAATAATGCTGAATGAAAGTATTTAATGAAAAAATGTTCTGTAAATCGTTAACTATACGGAAATGAATAGTCGAACTATTTAAAGCTGGGCTTGTTGCGTGTACATGTGTAGGTTCAATGAATTAAACTATTGACGAAACAAAATCCACATACACTAGACTAAAACAAAAAGAAATGAAACAAACTTCAAAAGGTTACGACTTGGAGGGGAAGAGAGAAAATAAGGGAGGGAGTGAGAGAGAAAAAGAATAGGTAGATAGATGGATAGATAAGTATAAATAATAATAATAATAATATGAGTTTTGAAGATTGTGTAAGAACGATATTGAAATGAATAAAGTCATGTTCACATCTATTATCCATAAGGAACATAATGTGTCTCATAGCAACCTATTGACACAGCTCATGGCATCGGGTTTTAGCGCAGACGGTAAAGCGTTCAACGGAAAAAAAAGGCGGGAAAGGCGATGAAAGATAGATTAGTTATAATCTTAGAATCCATCGCGAGGAGATGATGGGTACGTCGTGTTCAATTAAAGGTGCCGTTTAAGGAGGTGGGGGACCCTAACCTTTCTCCCTTTCGTCAGCGTTACACTCTTGTGACAAACCGATTCCTATTTTGTGTGTGAATTGAACAGCAGCTTCAATTCAATCATTTTGAACTCGAACTTGCTCGTCAATTTGACTAGTATTCAAATCAAATTTTCTATCGTAGATTGGAAATGTCGAAAATATTAAAATATGAATGAATTATATTCATTCTCGTAAGTGTCCCTTTGAAGGAATTTTTCTATTCAATTCACTTTGGATAGATTCTGTTCGCATATGAATATATATTTTTGAGAGTGTAATTATATTCTTTGCATATTATATTATATGTACAGCCATGTATTTCTCGACAACCATTTGCAAAATAGCCAACATTTGAGAGCTGCTATAAACGTTCAACGCATGATCGTTTTCTTCTTCGAAGGAACATGAAAGGGAAATGATACACAACACAATATAAACTGACAATAGTTTCAATTGAACAAAAGGAAAATCCCCACAGTTAATTTATTTATATCTTCATCTCGAGTATGGGGGCCTAGATCATACTGTGTTCAGATAGTAAATTAAGTGGTTATGTGAACATAATTAATATATCACCTCAACGTTAGACATATCAAACATTTTTTATTTAAATTCCACATGAATTTTTATGACAAACGGTAGCGATAAAAAGTCATTTAATTTACTTAGTAAAGATATTAATGACATTATTAACCCGAGTGTGGAATTTATTAATTATATACACCTAGCTGCAACCCAAGAGATTTAACAGGATGCAGGTGCCATTGTATATTTCTTATGTTGCCTTCTCATCTACAGTGATTTCCTAAATGATATTTATATATTATGTAACCCTATACTCTGATAAGATATAACGTAACTGAGACATGAGTATAAACAACACATCATCAATTGACCTAAATGAAATATGATATGAGAAGCAAACAGTGAAAATGTGTGGCTTGTAACAAAAGAAAAATCTGGGCATTTTTTTTAAAAAAGCAATGCATATGTGTAATGGATCATTCACACGAACAGTAAATACAAATCCATAGTAGAGTTTGAGGAGACTCACAATGTGATATGAATCAGTGTCTAC